TTGAGTCATCCCTGCTCTGTGAGTAACCGCTTGCCCCTTTCCTGTAAGTAGCCACAGTAAACACCTGAGGTCACAGAGCTGAACTTAGGTGATGTCCTTCCTTTGGTCTGTCATTAGTTACCATATCTACCCACAATAGTATCATACAATGAGCTGCCACATGGTCTGACCCCTGACTTAGGGACAACTCTTTCTGTCTCCCTGAGCACTTGCCCCAAACTGCTCCTTGTCTCAGTCTATCCATTTGAATACACAAAGAAAAGGGGGTGTTGCTGGTGGTAACAACATGGAAATGCTGGAGATACTGACTGACAGTCAACAGACTGACAACCTTGAGCTGATGACAGATCGGAGGACCTAGCTGTCTATGTGTATGCCTCCATAGACACAGTCCAGAGAAACAGGGAGTGACTGATGCCTCACTGCACAGCACAGAGAACTCCTCCCATAATGACCTGGTCCAACATAACTACCTACAGCAGCCTCAGACCTGCACTGTGTAATGCAGTGAAGTCTGACTATAGTTACAATTTCCTCCAAGTGTGTGGGTAGCTGTGGATGCACCGTGTCCAAGATTTCTGCATCAGGGAGCATAGATACCCAACATTCCCAACATAGCTGACAATTCTTCCAAACAGTGCAGCTCCGGGTGCTTTGTAGGATAAATTCCTCCAGCGAAGAAAGATCATGAAGAGCACGGTGTCCCCTCAGGCTCAGGACTGTGATTCCTACAGTACAGCCATTCAGCACCTGGCCCTCTCCCTGCTATCCCCTGTGGGTCCTGTCATCCCTCGACATGTCATGTCTGCCTTTGGTTCAGTTCATGTTCCCACAGAAGTGAGCACAGGACCTGTTGCATAAAAGACTTCAGTAAATGACTCCAGCAAATGTATACTATCTACTAAATAAGACTGCGATTTGATTTAATTAATGTTCTTTATCTTATATTAGCTTGAAAAAAGAGCGGCACTCTGTTGGTAAAAAAGAAGAAGAAATGTTGAAATTGGCTGCAGACCAAGTGAGGATCAAGTTAATTTCCTCTCCCCCAGAGAGAAGACTGATTCTTTGGGGCAGAGTTGGCAGGCAGTAGGGTGACAACCGAAGGGTTGAGCCCAGTGCCCCAGCAAATATGGGTTCCCAAGTGTGAGCCCTACTACTTGGGAATTGCCTCTGCCTCTTGTGCCGGACTCTGGGGTGGCATTTAAACTCATAATTCTAAGCCAAATGGCAACCCAGAGTGGCATGTTGGAGACCAGGTTTTAGACTCAGCTCCAGCACTGAGGAATTGTTCTGAGGCATTGTCCCTTCATGATGACCTGAGCATGACGACCCCAACCCTTGTCCTTCCCGGGGCACAGGCAGGATGAAAATGAAGCTCAGAGAAGAGGAAACTCCAGGAAAACCTACAGAGCCTGAATAAGGTGTGGCACTATGAAGGCCAGTCGGCCTGATGCTTAGATATTTGGATGAATAGAATGATATTACATATACATGCCCCAGCTTTCTTAGCATTCCTCTGTTGATATACAGCTAGGCTGCTTCAGTACGTAGTTATACTTGCCAAGAACTGAAAAGACTTCTGGCTGAGCAGCAAGTATCTATACTATGTAGCCAAGTACTTAGTTGGGAATGGATCAGTCCTATATTTGTTGAATCAATGCTACAGACATGAGCATCCTAGGTAAGCTAATAAAAATAGGTTTGAGAATCTATTTTTGCTTTTTTAAATTTTTTCATTTTTAGAATTCCTTCAAGATATTATTCCAGTTTTCCTTTGCTATCCTAAAAAAAAAAACAAAAACAAAATGTAAAACTATTCAAAAGTAATGAGAAGGTGGGCCAGAGGAAAAGAGGGAAAAGAACCCATTCAAACTAAGTGTATCTATGAGAGGCTTGCAGTGTGCTTGATCTCACTCCACTCACGTGACAACTTTTGAGGGAGGTACCCAAGGTCACATAGCTGGACAATTACTCCTCTAGGACCATGCCATCTATGTCTGACCTTTGCATTTTGACCTCTGAACTGGTTAGAAGCTGATCTGTACCTCTTGGCTGCGAGCCTTAAGCTCTCCCTGGCGCCCATGGAAAGGCTAAATGTCTTTGTGAGAGCATCTGAAACTCCTGACCCTAAACCATGACTCTCTGCTAGTCAGGCTAGAACTGTGTTGTGTTCAATGAGGCTACAGATTCCTTTTACCCTTTAGAAAAATTCTAGGCAATTTGGGAAGGTTTTCTGGTCCAAGATAATCGTATTTAAATATCTTGATCTTGTTTGGGATTGCAGCATCTCTGCTCATTATTCTATGTAGTTATGGCAACAAAGAACTGTGAATGTGTCCAAAGCATGCAGCAAACCTTCCCATTACTTTGTTAACCTTACACGACCCCTGGTCTGGTATCATTTCTTCGGTTTGTGGATGGATGACTTTATCACCACAGCCTGAGGAAACGAACATATTAACAGTGTTGCGTTTCTTATGAGTGGGAAGACGCGGGTAAGGGATGTAGGGATACAACATCCGCCATAACATCAGCCTACAGTCGTTGCTCAAGGCAAGGGACCTCATTGGACCTTAGTTTCATCCATGAAGTAGGCGTCAGGGTTGGCAATCTTTTTCTTCCCAAGCATTAGGTTGGGGAGCACGTTTGAAAATATTTTGTAAGCTGTGAAGTTCTATTGAATTCTTGTTCCTTGGGAAGAGTCTATTAGGGATGTGGTGAAGGACTGGAGAAGGGACAGGGTGACAGTCACGGGACTGAGTCATAATCAATGGATTTGTTTGGTCCTAATCTGCCAGAAACGTAAGACTCATTTCGTTTCTTGTGATTTAGCACATGGGAACCAGGAGCAAGAGCTATGGCTGTCCCATGTGGGAAGCCTACTCTGGAGTCACCAGCTTGCTTCTGGTCAAATTTTCCATCCACCCATGCGGGCTCCTTCCCAGCTCCCACTCTGACAGGAGTTTACACATCTCTTTCTCTTTGAGAGGAAAGTATGCTGCTACCCAACTGCTTTCTCCACCATTCTCCGCTGTAGTGAATGGTGGTGCCTCCCTCACCAGAGGTCCCATGCTATTTCAAAGAAGCCTTGTTAATGTTACCATGCTCATGTGTTCATGCATGTGCACACATATGTGTAATATCAGTGACTCCGTCTCCCTCCCCAGGGGGTAGCTCTTAGTATCTATACACCATGTCTGCCCTCTTCAAGTGCCTGGGACAGAGAAAAGACAACAAATTTGTACTGAGTACAAGACTGAACGGCTTGTGCGTGAGAGAGCGGCAAGACCTAGTATTCAGGACTTAAGACGACATGAAGCTCCCAAGTGTCTTCTGACGTGTGGAAGTAAACAAGATGCAGCCTACAGCCCAGAGGAGCTTGGGACCGAAGAGCAGGGAGCATGACACTTGCCTGCCTAGCTGAAAGAAATATTGGTAAACGAAGGACAGTGCAATGGTTAGCTTCCTGTGCCAATGGTTATTTAGTCAAATACTGAATGAATTTCAGCTGTCACTGGGGAAGTAGTTTGTAAATGTGGTTAACATTTGCAGTCGGTTAGCTTTACATAACAGATTTCTCTGCATGGTATGCCTAGGCCACTGATGAAAGCCTGGGGATCAAGACACTGAGTTTTCTTAGAGAAGACATGGTCTTCAGCTCTTGCCTGAGTCCAGAGCCTACAGGCCTGCCTTACAGCTCACTAGAAACGCAATGCCTCCAGTCAATACATGCGACTTGTTGCTAAAATCCCTTCCCTGGGAGAGATGTAGAGTAGCACCTACCCTCTTCCCGAGGTCCCAAAGACAAGCCAACACAGCTTACTCTGGGAAGCCCATTCATTTAGCGGGCTTTCTTTCAGAGCTTAGGTGAGAAGTTACTGGGATATGGGTACCCCTCCCTCAATTTGCAGTACCTGAAAAACCTTACCAAGCAGGGAAGAGCCCCCCCACACACACACACACCATAGCTAGCCCCTCTCCCAGGCCAGAATAGTGGAGAGCAGCTGTAGAGTCAGGAGAACATTCTGTGCCCTGCTCCTCTCAGGGTGTGAAGCGTTGATAAGTGAGCTGAGATGATCTTTTGCAAGAGGGTGCAGTTGAAGTCGCCAAGATGACAGATGCTTGCCACATAGGCCAATCACTCATGGCAAGAATAAATGAATCTAGGCATATAATACGTATCATTTCAAGGAATATACAGCTATAACATCCTGGATGAATGCCTACATATACGTAAGTAGTTTCTAGAGAACACTGGGGAGAGGGGATGAGAGAGGGCTGGTCAATCTGGAAAGTGAAGAGCAGAAGGGAAGGAGGAAGCCAGAATCCCCACTGTTTAAACCACAGGCGAGAGAGGCACAGCTGTCTCCATCTTCCTTGGCATCTGCAGAGAGCTGGACCGCTTTCCACCTCCCCAGGTCTTGGCTGGGGCTGGGCTGGGCTGGCACACATCTCACAGAGTTGGCCTTTTAGGACACGGATTTTTTAACAAACAAGCCCTAAACGGAAGGAAAGGGCAGTCGGGGCAGCAGCAATCCACAATATCCTGCGCCCCAGCCTTGAAGCTGTCTGTGTGGGTGTTCGAGAAACCTAATTAGCACAGGTTCCCTCTGATGCTAGGGAAGTTTCTTTGATTAATGTTTTCATTAAAAGGTCTCCCCTAATCAATCAGCTATAGTATATGCTTACAGGAAGTAGGTTCTTGGGGGCTCAAATACAAGCTGGGTGCCTGAGAATGAGGAGCCTGCAGCCGAGGTGCCTGTGACAGGGTCTTCTTGCAGACGCTGCTCGCCCTTCACTAATCTCTGCCGCTTTCCTGAGCACCCCCTCCCACGCCACAGACATTTTATGACAGAATAAAAATTAAACCCTATGCGGCACATTTTTTTTTCTCAGAGAGAAAAGTTTTCAGTCACCTCAGTAATTAGCTCATGTGGGACAGGAGATGCTGTCTCTGGCACTCCTTCACTGCTGTGACAGCGACATTAATTATTCTCTACCTCTGCGCGTCCGCCGGAGCTTGAAACCTGCGCTCACATTATTACTTGCCCTGCGCCTACTACGTGCCAGTTCTCGGGCTTGACCCTGGAATGAAAGGTGACAGACACGACGAGAGGGCCATATTTTATCCACCTTGAAAAATTTATGCTGGGGAAAGGCGGCCAAAGGGGAGGGCTAAAGAGTATGAAGGGCTTATGATCAAAGTGCACTGTAACTCAGATGAGCCAGTTCTAGTGCCTGATGGTGGAGGCCGTCTTCCGGACCACCCGGCAGCCATTGTGGCCAAACAGATACTGGGGGGCCGGAAGGCAGTGGTTGTGCGATGCAAGGGCATCCACGTTTATGGCAGGTTCTACAGAAACAAGATAAGCTTTCACTGAAAGAAGATGAACACCAGTTCTTTCTGAGGTCCCTGTAGCATCTGAGCCCCAGCAGGCACTTTGCCTGCACCCTGCAAGGTATGATGCTCCACAAGACTAGGCGAGACCAGGCTGCCACAGACCACTTCAAGGTGTTAGCTGGAATCCCTCCACCCTGTGACAGGAAAATACTTCGATGGTGGTCCCTGTTGTTCTCAAGGTTGTGTGGTCAACGCCTACCAGGAAGTTTGCTCGCCAAGGTTGTCTGCCTCATGAGGTGAGCTGGAGTACCAGGCAGTGAGGGACACTCTGGAGAAGCACAAGGCAGCCTGGAGCTGCTACTGGAAGAAGCTGTTCATGGGGTTCTGGAAACAGGCAGAAAAGAACATGAAGGGAAAAATCAACAGCTTCACCAAGGTCCTCCAAACCAGTGGGCCCCTGGTGTGAGCCCAATAAAGACTGCCTCAAAGGAAACAAAGATGAACATGCTATCAGTATACACTAATAAAATAAAACAAGTCAAGTCCTTTGCTCTCCTCAGAAGTTGTAGCAGAAAAGCCTTTACCACATATGGGACATTAACTGGCATCTTGGTGTTCAATTTCCCAGCTCCCTGGATGAACCTGGCCATAAGACTACCATGGTGGAGACATGGAGTTCTTCCCGGCTCATCAGCTCGAGGGTTTCCAGCTCTGAGCGAAGCCATGGTTGCTTGTCTTGGAGTATGGTTACTTTTCTTGGTGGGTTGATCTCCTATACCATCTACAGCCCCTCAAGCAACTGGGGTTCTGTGCTTAGGGGACGGAATGCTACTGCCCTGCATGCACCTGCCCTGTTCTCTTTATCCAGTCATCTGATGGTGTCAGGTTACCCATCCGGTTTCCCTGACTTGGCTGTTGTGAATGATTAGAATAGACTTAGCCTTTCAGATGTTAAATAAACAATCTAAAGCATCCTTCCAAGAAGGGCTACCCAAATGCCAGAGGAGTTAAGGAAGGTTCAATTTTGGAGGTCTTTTCGGCAGAAGCCTAGACCGGCTATGGCAGCGACCAAAAAAGCTATGAAGCAGCATCTTCCCCTGTCCCCGAAAGGAGGCACAGCCATAGCTCTTGTCATTCTCCAGCCCGGAGGAAGGCAGTCCCCCTTCCCTGACAGCCAGTGTCTTGGCATAATTCCCTGTGGAATCCAATTTTGAACAAACTGACACAGCTAGTTCCTAATAAGTAGTGAATTCTATTTATCAGAAGGTCCTTACAGCAACTGCATCAGACAGACAACGCTGTCATCGCCCTCTTACAGGCAGCAAGACGAAGCACCGAGGGCTGCGACTCACCCAGGGCCCTGTGATCATTTAGAAGAAATATGAGAAGCCAGGCAGCGTGGCTCCACAGCCCAGGATAATGACCACTGTACCACACTGCTTCCTACCAGCTCACCAGTGTGCTCTTGACATTTGCTTCAACAGCTCAAGCCACAGCTCAGGCTGATTTATCCTCAAGCACATAACAGAATTGAAGAACTGAACGCGTCATCCTATAACTGGATTCCTGGGCAACAAAGTCATGGTTGTTTTGAAACTCACTGGGGAACACCTTTTCGGTTGCTCTGAATTTTCCATTTCTTCTTGCCCTCTGCCCATACCGTGGGCCTTGGGTGAAAGGGGAGAAGAGCTTGTCCTTGTGTTCACAATTCTTTCTGGAAAGTAACTTAGCAGTCTCCTTAGGTCTGAGTAAAAACAGTGGAGAAGATCTAGTCACCTCCAAATGGCAAAGGGCTCAACAAGGAAGGTCAACATGGGCTAGCTACGTTCTGGGACACGGACCCGCGCTGGTAGCTCCCAGAGTCCCAGCATCCCATATGGTAGGGCCCATGTTGCTTCCTACCTGCCTTGTATTTCCTGTCCTTTCACGTCCTGTTGCCTCCCCACAGCAGCTCTGTGAGTTCCCTTCTGGTTCCTAAGTCTCCAAGTCTTCACCGCTTTAGTTGCTACAAACACAGCTATTGTCTTCCAGGCAGGGCCCTCTTGGCTACCCATGCCTTGGTCAGAAGCTCACAGGGCTTTCCTCTTTCCTTCTCATTTCCTTGTGAGGAAGGAAGGCCTTATCCTTCCCTCTGTGCCCTGGCTGCATCCTTCCCAGCCCTTCCCAACACTTGCCCTTACCCACTCCCTTCTGATCTGCTTCCTCAGTTGCAATTGCTCCCCATGCTCTTATGCAGACAGTAGATGATGGAGATCTGAATGGTCTTATAGGGTCTGCTCTTGGCCTGGCTTCCTGGACGTGGCCTCATCTTACTCTTCTTTTCCTATCCTAAAGCTACCCATTCTTCTCAGTACTTCTTTCTCTGTTTCCTGCAAACTCCAGCCAACTACCGAAAAAGCCCCAAACTTACCTCTAGCCAGTATCAGATTCCCCATCTTCCAACTTAGCCCCTCCTTAAATCTCTACCTACCGCTAACTTGCTTTGAGATCCTAGCCAAGGCTTTCTCCTTTTTAGACCTCATTTCTCAAATATCTGCTGTCTTATGTTTCACTCATATAGAAGTGTTTTTCATATCTCCAATACGCACAAGAGGAATGGAGCAAGCTGCTCAGGAGAGTGAGTCTGGGTTTGTCTTTAATTGTGTTCACACATGTGTGTATGTTTGCTTTTGTGTAAAGGCCAGTGAGAGAATGAGTTAGCAATTTAACCTCTCTGTTTCCTAAAATCTCCTACTCTGTCCACAGAGCTGAATGTTTAGCAGATGTATTTTTAAATGTAATTCTGACCACTTGGCAATAATCAGTTGGAGGTCCTTCTCTGGGAACTCTTTCGGCATTCAATAGCTGTTGTTTCTGCTTAGAGTTGAGGCACCATGAGATTTACCCATTTCATGCTAACCTGCCTTTTAGTGATGTCATTCTTTAGTTCTTGTTTAGGAGACATGCTGACAAGATTTTTGTATTACAAACAACATTATACAACCGAATAAGCTGGATTTATATATTTAAAATAATATTAATATAAATAATATACAACAAATATATATGTAACAACAATTAAAGGAAAAGGCCATGGATTTGAAAGATGGGAAAGAGGAACTGCTTGGTGGTGAGTCTTCCCAAAATGCTATGGTGTGGGAATGACTTTTCATCTGGTACTGAAGACAAACCAAAAAGACGATTATCCTTTTCAAAGAATCCCACACATAGAGAAGTCCACACAGCAGAATATGGCATGTACACTAAAAAGTATGAAGGGGACAGATTACAGAGAGGGATTTAAGTGGGAGACTCATGAAATAGACAAAAATTAATTTGGTAAGAACGAATCAGGAATGGGATTACAGAAATAAAGACACTGATGTAAGCCCAAGGGATGAACTTCATGGATGAGCAAGCCATGGATGTCGTAGAAACAGCACTTATGACTATGGGAGTCTGTGTGAGGACAGGTGCTTGTGACCATCAAAGTCTGTTCATGGAGGAGTTCTGGTCATAGGCAAGGGCAGGGTTCCCACACTGAAGGCTGAAAAGGTACTCAGGGAAATGTTCCAAAGTGGGTAGCTGAATTAAACAAACAAGCATGGAGGATATAAGGTTTGAAGATGAGCAGTTCTTGGTTACCTGTTTAAGGACTGGCCAAGACTGCTTCATGGTTCAGTCCCATTTCTAAGATACAGCAAGTGTTGCTCTTCTCTTCCTTTCTTATGCTCAGCTAGAATATAAACTGAATATGACTGTCCTACAGTATGATTAATGGGAAAGTTTTTATTGTAAATATGAGAAAAAGTAAATAGCCAGAGGCATCTGGAAGAGTCCAAAGCAAAGACAGAAAGTAATAGACTGGTAAAATGAAGAAGTCCAGCAGACTAGACCCTGCCGTGAGAGAATCACGAGAGAAAGAGAGAGAGAGAGAGAGAGAGAGAGAGAGAGAGAGAGAATGAGAATATGAGCAAAGAAAGTTAGGGTCAAAGAGGTAACATAGCCTGAATAGCAGGGTTATAAAAAGAATAAGTGGCTGGGTGAAGGAATTTAGGGTAAGAGAGGGGGAGAGAAGAGTTAGGATGCTGCCATAGACTTTGAGATGTATAACATGTACCTGTGATACTGAGAGAACCTGGAGGACAGCATGTGCTTTGGTGTGCTAATAGGCCCCCCAGATAGCCATTTGTCCCTTCTGCCAGTGATAAGGGAAACGGCTCCTTTGGTAGAGAAAAAATGGCTTCACAAGTTCTTAAGGAATGCTGGGTTTTATCTAAATGCTAGAATTTGGGGACCTGGAGTTCCCTTTGGACCTGACAGGTACCACTGTTTAAAGTTGAGTTTCCCCATGGTAATGTGAAAACCTCTGATCCACATTGCAAAACTCAGTGGTGGGATAAAGGATGAGAGGAAGGGGACAGGAGAAAGTGATGGAGAGAGAGAAGAAGGGGAGAGAGGATGAAGAGGAAAGCAGAGGAAGAAAGAATGGAAGGAGGGAGAGGAGAGGGGAGAGAATGAAGGGAGGAAAGAAGAGGTATGAAATAGAGAGAGAGGAAGGGAGACAAGGAAGGGACACTGAGAAGATAAAATGAGTGAAGAGACAGAGGAAGGCAGAGAGGAAATGAAGGAGGGAAGAATGAAGAAAGAGAGTGGAGGGAGGGAGAGAGAGAGGAGTGAAAGGACAGAGGAGGAACAGAGCAGCACACTCCATCAGAACTCTAAAACAAAACAAACAAGCAAATATAAGTTTACATAAACCAACTCTGGGATTCTTTTTTAAAGTCTGGTAACAGGGCTTGTTTAAAGATTTCCCTCTACTGTATGGGTTGCTTACAGTAGACCGAAAGAATCCTGCCCCTATTTCTCTCAGTCTGGGGCACAAAGCAGAGCTGGGAATGTACTTTAAGCATAGCATAGTCAACTAGGTGGAGAAGAGAAGACCACATTGTCAGTGTTAGGAGTCGCCCATGGCTGATGGCATTGTTCAAAATCTACAGAGAAGGGGCTCGAGAAGGGGTTGTAGGTGGGCAGGAAAATGTAGTTTGTTAAAACATGACTTATCGGGGAATTGCTGAGTGGTTGGCTGTATTGGCTTTCATTTAACTATTGACTGAGAGTGTGCGTTCATAATAATTAATAATGGGCTAGTCAATATGTGCACAAGAGAACAAACTCAAAGGCCGGAAACGTCAAAAAAATATTCATTACACATCATTTTAAAACTCCACACATTCAGTTTCATATGGAAAAGGATTTTGAAGAGTATTAAGTTGAATATTCTAATGCACAGCTGGGTAATTGGATAATATTTATCACATGCCCAGAGATTAGCCATGTCCATGATTTAAAAAAGTCACAGGGCAATAAGCAGAGATGTATATAGAAATTTGTGCAGAAGGATGTTTATCACGTTGCTACTTCTTGACAAAAGTTTTGAATAGCTTAAATACTCCTTGATAGAACCACAATTAAATGTTCAAGATACTTTAAAAAGTTTTATTAGTCAGTACAACTCATAATTTTGGAGCATTTAATAATGAAGCAGAATGTTCATTTTGTTACAAAAGTGGAGACAAAACAATTTGTACTTGGAAAATGATCTTGATTTTGTAATAAAATAATAAAACCAATATATGCTTTATAGGTCTGTGCCAAACAGAGAGCTTGCAGAGCCTGTGATTATGGATAATTATGACCCTCATGTGTATTCCTTGGTATTTCCCAAATGTTCTTCAGTGAAGTT